ACTCGAGTCAATAACTTTTCCAGTTTTTTGTGGTAAAATTAGGTGCCTCGGCTTATATTCGGGTCGGCCTATACTCGAGTATATACGGTAATCAATTACCTCAACTAGAAAATAAATAATTTTATAGAAAGAGAAATGACTGAAAAGCATGGCATTTTTTCCATTTCCATTTCTTTATTTTTGCCTCCTTCAACTCATATGATTATTTTCTGAAGAAGTTACCTCCCCTTTTTAAAAAAAACAGATAGAACAGACTGCTCAAATATACCATTCCTTTTTCCTTCATTTCAAGATGCTGTGGGATTTGTTGACATTTGCAGCATGCCCTGTTGCTATTATAAATAGGAAGCAACATTTTAAGCTTCAACACACTCAAAATTAAGCTATACTACAAAGAAGAACAAATAGGTAGTGGAAGAAATGTAAAGAAACATAATGGTACTATTTTATTTTTTACATGCAATCATCTTTGTTTTAGAGTGTTATTGGAAAAAAATATCTCAATGACACTCTGCAAAACCCATAGATACTAACAGAAAAAAAGGGGGGGGGCAATCAGTTTTATTGATGCTAATCAATAGTACCCAATGTGCAATCCTGATATTAAAAACTTAGCTATGTTTAGGAACAGCTGGATTTCAGGCTAACACACTCCAAAACCCTCCCTTGACTATTGAGCTGTTTAACTAATTTTTAACCAACAGGATATAGATTTACCAGTTTCTCATGAGTTTCCCAGAACAAAGATAGGAATGCAAAGTCTTTGCCAGGTCTAAGAAATATCGGAAGGAAATGTAGAAAAAAAATAAAATAGATTTCAGAATATTAAGAAATGGGTTCACTCACCATAGACTTCACTAATTGGTTAATGATAATTCCAGAAAGGATGAAAACATCTTTTACTTCCTGGTAGTCTCTGGATAGGCATTGAACCAGAAAGTATGAAGGCATGAAAGACCAGCAGTCATAGGAAATCCATGTGCCTTAACTCTTTTATTAAACTTCTTCATATTCTTCTTCTTTTCAATCATATAGTTCAAAGTTCAAAGTTCAAAGTTTAATGAATTTATATGCCGCCCAATCCCGAAGGACTCTGGGCAGCTTACATAAAAACAGTTCTAAAAAGAATACTAAGAAAAAATGTAAAATAAAGAGGGAAAGCAAGTTAAAAAGACACATCATGCACTCAATCTTAGTGGGGCTGGACCGCATTCATGAGGTCAACAGCCCCAGGCCTGCTGGAATAGCCAGGTCTTAGTAGACTTTTGGAAGGCCGTGAGAGTGGGGAGGGTTGAGATCTCTGGGGGTAGATCGTTCCATAGGGCCGGGGCAGCTACAGAGAAGGCCCTCCCCCGAGAAGCCGCCAGAGGACCTTGTCTAGTCGACGGCACCTGGAGAAGGCCCATCCTGTGTGATCTTATCAGACGCTGGGAGGTATGTGGCAGAAGACGGTCTCGTAGATAGTCGGGTCCTAAGCCATGTAGGGCTTTAAAGGTAATAGCCAGCACCTTGAAGCGTGTTTGGAGACCGATAGGGAGCCAGTGTAGCTCGAGGAGGATAGG